TGTGACTTGTACTCTAGCAGTGACCCAAGACCACAGACGTAGAGTACAGTGTAACTTGTACTCTAGCAGTGACCCAAGACCACAGACGTAGAGTACAGTGTAACTTGTACTCTAGCAGTGACCCAAGACCACAGACGTAGAGTACAGTGTGACTTGTACTCTAGCAGTGACCCAAGACCACAGACGTAGAGTACAGTGTAACTTGTACTCTAGCAGTGACCCAAGACCACAGAGTACAGTGACGTAAGGAAACTGGAATGATGAAGAGAGGCCACACAGCAAGTATGACTACAGATCACTTGAATGAGACCGGGGGGGGGGGGGGGAGGGCAGGATAGGTGTGCTCAACCACTTGGTCCATCGGGGTTCGAAGCCTGACCAGCAGGAAGCCGTGTATGGACTGGTCTAAGTGGATGGATGTTCCATATCCAGCAGGACTTACTCTTGCAATAGTCTCCCTCAAGCCGAAGATAATACATCACGCCTAAGGAAGCGCTTGAGCGACATTCCTTCCTTAGTTTAACTTAAGTGATAGTGTGTGTGGAGTTAAGACGTCTCTCGCGGAGATAACAGACTCGAAAGACATGGTGGCTTGCACACGTCAGTAAATATTTAGGGAACTACTGTAAGGAAGAGTACTAATGGTGGTAGGGAGCACCACGACCTGGCCAAGCCTAGTGCAGTTGAAGTCTCCAGCAACCATGCCCTTACACACACACACACACACACACACACACACACACACACACACACACACACACACACACACACACACACACACACACACACACACACACACAGTTGGTAGCAAGTTGATAAAAAACACAGTGAAGCAAGGCAGGTCTTTGTCACCTGTGGACACGCTGCTGAAAATATGGGAGGTGACGACGAGTCCGTCCGTGGAGGTGGAGCGGACCTTTACACACTTCTTCCAACGACACACAACCCGGAGGAAAAGGTCTTTGATGAACTATATTGATTGTTTGGCAAGACACACCTGCCGACACTCCAAGCGCCACACCTGCCGACACTCCACCAAGCGCCACACCTGCCGACACTCCACCTACCGCCACACCTGCCGACACTCCACCAAGCGCCACACCTGCCGACACTCCACCAAGCGCCACACCTGCCGACACTCCACCAAGCGCCACACCTGCCGACACTCCACCAAGCGCCACACCTGCCGACACTCCACCAAGCGCCACACCTGCCGACACTCCACCAAGCGCCACACCTGCCGACACTCCACCAAGCGCCACACCTGCCGACACTCCACCAAGCGCCACACCTGCCGACACTCCACCAAGCGCCACACCTGCCGACACTCCACCAAGCGCCACACCTGCCGACACTCCACCAAGCGCCACACCTGCCGACACTCCACCAAGCGCCACACCTGCCGACACTCCACCAAGCGCCACACCTGCCGACACTCCACCAAGCGCCACACCTGCCGACACTCCACCAAGCGCCACACCTGCCGACACTCCACCAAGCGCCACACCTGCCGACACTCCACCAAGCGCCACACCTGCCGACACTCCACCAAGCGCCACACCTGCCGACACTCCACCAAGCGCCACACCTGCCGACACTCCACCAAGCGCCACACCTGCCGACACTCCACCAAGCGCCACACCTGCCGACACTCCACCAAGCGCCACACCTGCCGACACTCCACCAAGCGCCACACCTGCCGACACTCCACCAAGCGCCACACCTGCCGACACTCCACCAAGCGCCACACCTGCCGACACTCCACCAAGCGCCACACCTGCCGACACTCCACCAAGCGCCACACCTGCCGACACTCCACCAAGCGCCACACCTGCCGACACTCCACCAAGCGCCACACCTGCCGACACTCCACCAAGCGCCACACCTGCCGACACTCCACCAAGCGCCACACCTGCCGACACTCCACCAAGCGCCACACCTGCCGACACTCCACCAAGCGCCACACCTGCCGACACTCCACCAAGCACCACACCTGCCGACACTCCACCAAGCACCACACCTGCCGACACTCCACCAAGCACCACACCTGCCGACACTCCACCAAGCACCACACCTGCCGACACTCCTCCAAGCACCACACCTGCCGACACTCCACCAAGCACCAAACCTGCCGACACTCCAAGCACCAAACCTGCCGACACTCCTCCAAGCACCACACCTGCCGACACTCCACCAAGCACCAAACCTGCCGACACTCCTCCAAGCACCACACCTGCCGACACTCCTCCAAGCACCACACCTGCTGACACTCCACCAAGCACCAAACCTGCCGACACTCCTCCAAGCACCACACCAGCCGACACTCCAAGCACCAAACCTGCCGACACTCCAAGCACCAAACCTGCCGACACTCCTCCAAGCACCACACCTGCTGACACTCCACCAAGCACCAAACCTGCCGACACTCCTCCAAGCACCAAACCTGCCGACACTCCACCAAGCACCACACCTGCCGACACTCCAAGCACCAAACCTGCCGACACTCCTCCAAGCACCACACCAGCCGACACTCCAAGCACCAAACCTGCCGACACTCCAAGCACCAAACCTGCCGACACTCCAAGCACCAAACCTGCCGACACTCCTCCAAGCACCACACCTGCCGACACTCCACCAAGCACCAAACCTGCCGACACTCCTCCAAGCACCACACCTGCCGACACTCCTCCAAGCACCACACCTGCCGACACTCCTCCAAGCACCACACCTGCCGACACTCCTCCAAGCACCACACCTGCCGACACTCCTCCAAGCACCACACCTGCCGACACTCCTCCAAGCACCACACCTGCCGACACTCCTCCAAGCACCACACCTGCCGACACTCCTCCAAGCACCACACCTGCCGACACTCCACCAAGCACCACACCTGCCGACACTCCTCCAAGCACCACACCTGCTGACACTCCACCAAGCACCAAACCTGCCGACACTCCTCCAAGCACCACACCTGCCGACACTCCTCCAAGCACCACACCTGCCGACACTCCACCAAGCACCACACCTGCCGACACTCCTCCAAGCACCACACCTGCCGACACTCCTCCAAGCACCACACCTGCCGACACTCCTCCAAGCACCACACCTGCCGACACTCCACCAAGCACCACACCTGCCGACACTCCTCCAAGCACCACACCTGCCGACACTCCTCCAAGCACCACACCTGCCGACACTCCTCCAAGCACCACACCTGCTGACACTCCACCAAGCACCACACCTGCCGACACTCCTCCAAGCACCACACCTGCCGACACTCCACCAAGCACCAAACCTGCCGACACTCCACCAAGCACCACACCTGCTGACACTCCTCCAAGCACCACACCTGCCGACACTCCTCCAAGCACCACACCAGTTCCTACTCTTCAATATCTATATCATTAACTACTACAGTCAGCTCGTTTGGGAAGGGATCCATTTCAAAAGTTAATACAAGACAAAGTGGAAGATTGGCCTTTGACTCGTTATTTAAATCGTTTAAAGTCTGGATTTGTAAACAGTTCTTAGATGTTTCTTCAGCGAAGTAAATCCAACCTATTGAGCTCTCCCGGACATGGAAGATCGGAGCTCACGGCGCAAATTGATATTGTGTAAATCATTTTAATAAAACTCATCTTAGAGATCTTGTGAACGTCACTGACGTCATCTTTGACAGATGATTCGTTTTAAAGCAAAACAAATGTTTTGTTTTCAAAACAAGCATCTGGCATAGCAAGTTTTTGCCTGATGCTTGTAATGTTTTCTTCATGTCATTTAAATATAAGAAAACTATGAAAACATCACTCTACAAATCCACATAAAGTCATAATTATTGATTGAACTGAAAATGTTTCATGTGTTAAATAAAATTATTTTGATACTAAAGAAATAGTTTAAAGACAGAAGTTCCACTAAAGCAAAGAGCAGTTTCGTACTCGGGTAGTTCTTTGTACACAGAACTTACCCCGCCCGGGTAAACTCCACCAAGCACCAAACACAGAACTTACCTCGCCCGGGTAAACTCCACCAAGCACCAAACACAGAACTTACCCCGCCCGGGTAAACTCCACCAAGCACCAAACACAGAACTTACCCCGCCCGGGTAAACTCCACCAAGCACCAAACACAGAACTTACCTCGCCCGGGTAAACTCCACCAAGCACCAAACACAGAACTTACCCCGCCCGGGTAAACTCCACCAAGCACCAAACACAGAACTTACCTCGCCCGGGTAAACTCCACCAAGCACCAAACACAGAACTTACCCCGCCCGGGTAAACTCCACCAAGCACCAAACACAGAACTTACCCCGCCCGGGTAAACTCCACCAAGCACCAAACACAGAACTTACCTCGCCCGGGTAAACTCCACCAAGCACCAAACACAGAACTTACCCCGCCCGGGTAAACTCCACCAAGCACCAAACACAGAACTTACCTCGCCCGGGTAAACTCCACCAAGCACCAAACACAGAACTTACCCCGCCCGGGTAAACTCCACCAAGCACCAAACACAGAACTTACCCCGCCCGGGTAAACTCCACCAAGCACCAAACACAGAACTTACCCCGCCCGGGTAAACTCCACCAAGCACCAAACAGGTAATTCTGAAATTTTCTGTTTTAAAGGCACGTGAATAAATATAATTAGCTGTCTTTATTACAATTTTCATCACTTCAAGTTCCTTAAGGTTAGTTTTTCCACACAAGTCGTCCTCGTGTAAGAGACAATGTAAGCCTAGCAGTGGATGTCCATCATAGTTTTCACACATTTTAACAAATCTGCCTTTTAAGGAGTCGTACGTACTGGGTGCACCGTCAACTCTCAAGCAACTATTCTTGAAAGGTCAACCTGCCGAAAAGAAAAATAGTTTACTACATATTGTAGCCCGTGGTAACGTTACCATGTTTCCAGGTCTTCTGTATATTAATGATAATCTGTATATATTTATTACTATTACTAGCTGTACCCGGCCACGCGTTGCTGTGGAGCCACAGCAACCTTTCCCAGTCTCCCTGTGTTGCCCACCATCTCCCCCTCCCCCGTCCCCTCCTCCTCCCTACCATTCCTCACACCACCGTCCCCTCCTCCTCCCTACCATTCCCCACACCACCGTCCCCTCCTCTTCCCTACCATTCCCCACACCACCGTCCGATACATTCCCAAATGATCTGACGTGTCCATCAGAGAATTGGGAACATCAAATAATTTGATTTTCCCATCACTGAAATATAAGAAAATTAAAAAACGAAAAAGTTAAAAAAAAAAAAAAACTAAACTCATGAAATGAACGTTACAGTAAACAACACAGCTCAATTCCAATGCAATGTCACAAAATAATTAAATCAAAATGAAATTAAATCGAAATCTATGAAAATTTAATTTGTCAATGCAATTGGAAACATTGAAGTGGAATCTTAACATATTTAGGATAGCGTGTGTTGCTATTACGTGCAACAGATAACGCTGTTTAAAAAAAAAACATGTTTTTTCCTGTCACAGGCGAGGCATGTATATAGTAGGTATATAAAGTCGCGCGCCTATTCGAATGCAACACTGTCAAAATTTCAAAGAAAACGGAAAAGAGGTTTCGAAGATTTCCCTCACTTGAAAAACACATGAAAAACCCAGTTTTTCAAAAAATCTAGTTTTTTTCCGTCACAGACGTGACATCTATATATTATGTATATAAAAACTTGCTCGGATGCGAATGGAACGTTGTGTGAAAATTTCAAAGCAATCGGTGAAGAACTTTCGGAGATTAACGATTATGAACAAACGAGCATTTCCATTTTTATTTATATAGATGGATGGGGTTATGGGAATCAATATTTGCATGCATGTCACCCATGGCACGCATGCCATAGATTTCCACCACTCTCCTAGATGTGTACTGGCGACTGTGTACACCAGATAGCTACAGAGAAGTGTGTGTTCATCCTAGTGTTATCGGAAAATTAACATCCTATGAGAATACCAGAACGTTTGTACACTACAGATGAGTTTTAAAAGTTACAGGTTACTTGATACTTTGTATTCCCCTGATGGCTACAGGTAGGCTTGTTGTACAAGTACTGTGGGCGAGTACAGTAACTGTACAAGTACTGTGGGTGAGTACTGTAACTGTACAAGTACTGTGGGCGAGTACAGTAACTGTACAAGTACTGTGGGTGAGTACTGTAACTGTACAAGTACTGTGGGTGAGTACAGTAACTGTACAAGTACTGTGGGCGAGTACTGTAACTGTACAAGTACTGTGGGTGAGTACTGTAACTGTACAAGTACTGTGGGTGAGTACAGTAACTGTACAAGTACTGTGGGCGAGTACAGTAACTGTACAAGTACTGTGGGTGAGTACAGTAACTGTACAAGTACTGTGGGTGAGTACAGTAACTGTACAAGTACTGTGGGCGAGTACTGTAACTGTACAAGTACTGTGGGCGAGTACAGTAACTGTACAAGTACTGTGGGTGAGTACAGTAACTGTACAAGTACTGTGGGTGAGTACAGTAACTGTACAAGTACTGTGGGTGAGTACAGTAACTGTACAAGTACTGTGGGTGAGTACAGTAACTGTACAAGTACTGTGGGTGAGTACAGTAACTGTACAAGTACTGTGGGTGAGTACTGTAACTGTACAAGTACTGTGGGTGAGTACTGTAACTGTACAAGTACTGTGGGTGAGTACTGTAACTGTACAAGTACTGTGGGTGAGTACTGTAACTGTACAAGTACTGTGGGTGAGTACTGTAACTGTACAAGTACTGTGGGCGAGTACTGTAACTGTACAAGTACTGTGAGCGAGTACTGTAACTGTACAAGTACTGTGGGCGAGTACTGTAACTGTACAAGTACTGTGGGCGAGTACAGTAACTGTACAAGTACTGTGGGTGAGTACTGTAACTGTACAAGTACTGTGGGCGAGTACAGTAACTGTACAAGTACTGTGGGTGAGTACAGTAACTGTACAAGTACTGTGGGTGAGTACTGTAACTGTACAAGTACTGTGGGTGAGTACTGTAACTGTACAAGTACTGTGGGTGAGTACTGTAACTGTACAAGTACTGTGGGCGAGTACTGTAACTGTACAAGTACTGTGGGCGAGTACTGTAACTGTACAAGTACTGTGAGCGAGCACTGTAACTGTACAAGTACTGTGGGCGAGTACAGTAACTGTACAAGTACTGTGGGCGAGTACAGTAACTGTACAAGTACTGTGGGCGAGTACAGTAACTGTACAAGTACTGTGGGCGAGTACAGTAACTGTACAAGTACTGTGGGCGAGTACAGTAACTGTACAAGTACTGTGGGCGAGTACAGGATCTGTACAAGTACTGTGGGCGAGTACAGTAACTGTACAAGTACTGTGGGCGAGTACAGTAACTGTACAAGTACTGTGGGCGAGTACAGTAACTGTACAAGTACTGTGGGTGAGTACTGTAACTGTACAAGTACTGTGGGCGAGTACTGTAACTGTACAAGTACTGTGGGCGAGTACAGTAACTGTACAAGTACTGTGGGTGAGTACAGTAACTGTACAAGTACTGTGGGTGAGTACAGTAACTGTACAAGTACTGTGGGTGAGTACAGTAACTGTACAAGTACTGTGGGTGAGTACTGTAACTGTACAAGTACTGTGGGTGAGTACAGTAACTGTACAAGTACTGTGGGTGAGTACAGTAACTGTACAAGTACTGTGGGTGAGTACTGTAACTGTACAAGTACTGCGGGCGAGTATTGTAACTGTACAAGTACTGTGGGCGAGTATTGTAACTGTACAAGTACTGTGGGTGAGTACAGTAACTGTACAAGTACTGTGGGTGAGTACAGTAACTGTACAAGTACTGTGGGTGAGTACTGTAACTGTACAAGTACTGTGGGTGAGTACTGTAACTGTACAAGTACTGTGGGTGAGTACTGTAACTGTACAAGTACTGTGGGTGAGTACTGTAACTGTACAAGTACTGTGGGCGAGTACAGTAACTGTACAAGTACTGTGGGCGAGTACAGTAACTGTACAAGTACTGTGGGCGAGTACTGTAACTGTACAAGTACTGTGGGCGAGTACAGTAACTGTACAAGTACTGTGGGCGAGTACAGTAACTGTACAAGTACTGTGGGCGAGTACAGTAACTGTACAAGTAATGTGGGCGAGTACTGTAACTGTACAAGTACTGTGGGTGAGTACTGTGGGTGAGTACTGTAACTGTACAAGTAATGTGGGCGAGTACTGTAACTGTACAAGTACTGTGGATGAGTACTGTAACTGTACAAGTACTGTGGGTGAGTACTGTAACTGTACAAGTACTGTGGGTGAGTACTGTAACTGTACAAGTACTGTGGGTGAGTACTGTAACTGTACAAGTACTGTGGGTGAGTA